TTTTTTGAGACAAGGTCTCATTATGTAGTTGAGACTGACCTGGAACTCACTGTGTAGCCCAGGCTGGTCTCAAACTCACAGCGATCCTCCTGCCTCAGCCTCCCGAGTCCTGGGATTACAGGCGTGCGCCACCATTCCCGGCTAGGGCTTTTCTGTTGTGCAGAGCAAGGGACCTTAGGGTGGCTGGGCGACCACGGCACCCGCAGGTGCTCTGGGCAGTGCCTGGCCCGTGTGTTCCCAGGTGGAAGGGGGGACCGGAAGGAAGGCACAGCAGCCTGACCCCAGCTGCATACCCCATAGGGACCCCGGAATTCATGGCCCCTGAGATGTACGAGGAGAAGTACGATGAAGCCGTGGATGTGTACGCGTTTGGCATGTGCATGCTGGAGATGGCCACCTCCGAGTACCCATACTCTGAGTGCCAGAATGCGGCCCAGATCTACCGCAAGGTCACCTCGGTGAGAGTGGGCCTGGAGCGGGTTCCAGCTGCTTTCCTGGTTTCCTGTCACTTCCCTCACCAAAGACAGGACAGGTGAAAAGATGCCTTGGTATGCTGGGCATGGTAACACACACCTGTACTTCCAGCACTCAGGAGGCTGAGGCAGGAGGGTTGCTCAGAATCTGAGGCCAGCCTGGGCTACATAGTGAGCCCCCCTCCCCAAGAAAAGATCCCTTGGTGCACACTGAAGGGCATTAGAATAAGGTACACAGCTCCTGAGGGTCTACACACGTATATTCCTCCTACCGTCAGACCCTTCTGGTTACCTCTCGAGCAGGCAGGTAGAGGCCCTGCCCTTGTTTTGCAAATGAGCAGTGTTCAGCAGGTGCCCTGTTCAGGTTCATGCTGGCCCCTGGCCCATGAAGGGCCACCACGCCCAGAGCCAGACACACAGGCCCAGGCTTCAGCTCCGGCCTCCCGCAGGGCACCAAGCCGAACAGCTTCTACAAGGTGAAGATGCCAGAGGTGAAGGAGATCATTGAAGGCTGCATCCGCACGGACAAGAACCAGAGGTGGGCGAGGGGAGAGCGAGGGGGGCAGAGTGGGGGCGGCCACACTCACCCGCTGCGCCCCCAGGTTCACCATCCAGGACCTGCTGGCCCACGCCTTCTTCCGTGAGGAGCGAGGGGTGCACGTGGAGCTGGCCGAGGAGGACGACGGCCAGAAGCCGGACCTCAAGCTCTGGCTGCGCATGGAGGATGCACGGCGGGGGGGGCGCCCGCGGGGCAACCAGGCCATCGAGTTCTTGTTCCAGCTGGGCCGGGATGTGGCCGAGGAGGTGGCCCAGGAGATGGTGAGCACGGGGGGGCCTCCCGCCGCACTCACCGCACCCACCCTGTGTCCTGCAGCGCCCTTCCTGGGGCACTGGTTCATCCCCTTCCCGTTCTCCCCTCGAATTCTTTGGCTCTTCTTCCTCCGTGCTCAGAACCATCTACTGGGAAGGCTTCTCCTCCAGAGTCAAAATAAAATGTGGAGGGCTGGGGATTTGGCTCAGTGGTGCCGCCACCTGCCTTCAAGCACAAGGTCCCGAGTTCCAGCTCTGGCACCAAGAATCAGTAAACGTGGGTCCTTGGTTACAGTGGGTCTTGGATTTTGTTTTCGGTTTTTTGAGACCAAGTCTTACTATTTAGCGCAGGGTGGTCTTGAACCCACTGTGGATCCCAGGCTGGCCTCAAACTTGCAGCAGTTGTCCTGCCTCGCCTCCTGAGTGCTGGGACCACAGGCTTGCGCCACCACGCCCTGGCAGGACTGTGTTCAGAGTGGAGACTTTAAGTTAGATCACCCTGCCCTGTGTCTTCTCACCCTGCAGAGCTCAAACTGCAATGAATGCAGACTAGAATGGGTGCTGGAGGGGGCGATGCCATGCGGACCAGAAGACCGGTGGAAGCTGGGGGGCTGGCGGGGAGGTCTGGAAGCGGGGGGGGCGGCTCCAGAGCAGTGGCAGTGGGGAGGGCGACCAGACACCGTCACTGTCGCCAGGAGGATGTGTTGGTGGCTGTGCTCAGGAGCTGCCAGCTGCCTGCTCCTTGGTCTCTCACGGATGGTGCTCTCTTGGAGGTGGCACCGTGGCCCCAAGCTGTCTTCCTCACCCCACCCAGGTGGCCCTGGGCTTGGTCTGCGAGGCTGACTACCAGCCAGTGGCCCGGGCAGTGCGCGAGCGGGTCGCCGCCATCCAGCGGAAGCGTGAGAAGCTGCGGACAGCTAGGGAGCCGGAGGCCCTCCCGCCCAAGCCAGGACCTGTGCCGGTGACCATCCCTGTGGCTCCAGGTGCCCCCGGCGCCTTCCCCCCTGAGCCCGAGGAGCCAGAGGCGGACCAGCACCAACCTTTCCTGTTCCGCCATGCCAGCTGCTCGTCCACCACCTGTAAGTCACTGGCCCGGGCCTCGGTCCAGAGCCCTGGGCACTGCTCCCCGACCGGACCCCCTGAAGTCCAGCCAGGTGACACAGCCACCTCAGCAGCCTTCCGGCTTTGGGGAAGGCCCCTCCCGCCGTGGCTGCCCCTGGCCC